AATCTATACCATATTAAATATTGTAGAGCTTGATTAAGCAAATAATAATAATAATAATAATAATAATAATAATAATAGTACAGTGTCATTTGCCAGTCACTCTGAGGGAACAGGGAATTTTAGTGTGAGAGTGCTTTCAAGAAGTTACTGTTGGGACCAGCAGTTAGCATAATGGCCATGTCACTGAACTCCCTTGTAGCCAACTGAGGTTCGAGTCCCAGACTCAGTGGCTTAAACTCACGCCAGGCGCGTGTGTGTGCGTGCCCAAGAGCCCGAGAGGAGAATGGAGGAGAAGGAATTGTGATGTGGCCATCCCCCCTGGGGGGTGATTTCTCGCTTCCTATCTCTCTCTGTCTCTCTGTCTTTCTGGCAAGTGCACATGCCCTATAGCAAAAACATCTCCAAAAAAAAAAAAAAAAAGAAGCTACAGTAAAAGCACATCATAGTTGGCTCAAGGTGAAAGAGCAGTGCTGGACAGTGTTAAAAGGCCCGATATCTGTCTGAAGAGAAAAATGTGAGTGAGAATGAAACATCATTGTAAAGGGCATAGTGATTCAATAAAAGTATAGCGACTCAATGAAAGTATCTCTATTAAGGTAGAAAGTTGAAGTGAAAATTTGTTACATTTCTAACAATCAAATCATTGGTATAAAATGATCAATTTCAGAGTAAAGAAAACTGATTACTTACTTTATATTTCATACTTCTACAAGTAGAGTTAATTTGTTATTTTAATGATTATCTTCAGTATATCATTACAAAAGTGCTGCATTGTTTTACTAAAGGAAGAGTAAATGTAAGACATCTTACCTCCATCTTATCTTGGCATGTTAGGAGGGATACCAATAGAGTTACCTCACCTGTCTCCCTGACTACCCATTTTATTGAACTTTTCTTTTTAGTCCCATATTTATATTCATGTCTGTTATCCAAATAAAGAGGTTACATTAAGGAATGCTTAACAGCTTGGTTTGGGTTTTCTTAAAAACATGGGATTTTGTATACAAAAGGGTCTGACCTTGTTATTCAAGTTATCAAGAGTAAATTCAGCATTAAATAACTCTTATTACAAAGATTTTATACATATATACATACATACATATATGCATGTATGTATATATGTATATGTATATATGTATGTATGTATATGTATATATGTATATATATATGTATGTAGTTAAAATAGAACCAGTCTCAAAATAGAAAGTTTTAGGGAGAATTGAGTGAGCATATTTCTATTGAAATATTCAACTGGGACAATTAATAAAGAGGAGAAAAAGACATCAAATACTAAACCATTTCAAAGAAGTCAGGCACCTCCTGCATGGCTGAGTAAGAAGAGGCCGAACTGAATGTGCAGATCTGGCCACAGCACTCTCAACTCCATGCACACTGGGAATAAAGCCATAACAGGCAAGTGAGTCTTCCACTCAGGGATGGATTCAGTGATGGCTTGTCCCCTTTGTGTAAAGTGAAGAGAGTCAATGAGGTAAACATAATCCATTGCAGTTTTGATACAAGGGATGGAGATGTATCTGACAATTATATCCTCATTTGGCCTTCTGTGTTTTTGTTTGGTTTTGATTTTGTTTTTTATTTAGTTGCTACAAGGCATGTGCGCTCACCAGAAAGAGACAAAAAGAGAGAGGGAAAGTGAGAAAGCAACTCCCACAGGGGAAGTCATGATGCAATTCCTTTTCCTTCATTTCTATGTTCTTTGAGGACCTTGGGAATGCACATACACATGGCAACCGTGTTTTACAAGCTATCCAGTCTGGAAGTCTAACTAAGCAGTCAGTCATGCAGGATTCAGCTGTCTTAACCACCACATCACCAGTTGGCTGGCTTGGCTTTTGATTTTACAGAAAATGTTACTGTTTTGGGACCAGTAGTTAGCATAATGGCTATCTATGTTGCTGGACTCCCACGTAGTCGACCGCGATTCGAGTCCCAGACCCAGTGGCTTAAAAAACTCACACAGGGTGCATGTGCGTGTGTGCCCAAGATCCCGAGAGGAGAATGGAGGAGAAGGGATTGCGGCGTGGCCATCCCCTCTGAGAGGTGATTTCTCGCTTTCTGTCTCTGTCTCTCTCTGTCTGCCTGGCAAGTGCACGTGCCCTATAGCAAAAACCTCTCCAAAAAAAGGAAAAAAAAAGAAAATGTTTCTGTTTTATATGTCTCTTTGAAGTGGAGAAAAAGAATTGGAGAAGGAAGTCAGCTGTGAAGCTATATAGGTTTTAACATTTTAGTTTAGCAAAGGTATGAATTTTTTTTTTCTGGGTCAAAGAGATATTACATAAAGTTGATGGGCTACAGTTACAGTTAAAAGAAAATTTGGTAAGACATGAGTGAGGCAGTGTCTAAGGAGGTCAACTAAGGCAGCATCTCATCCTAGGAAACTCTCCAAAAAGCCATCTGGTGTGCTTTTACCACCACTTCCATAACCCAAGGAGCAGGTATTAGATGCCTGTCCTACAGGAAACACAGATGCCAGGGACAGCTGAAATATGACCACAGCACTAGAAAAATAAGAGATATTTGAATCCTCTTCCCTTCCCAAGAGAATATGTAGTTCATGCCAACTTTGGGATTCCAAGGATAAGATCCAGTTTTCACAGGGGTCACAGAAAATACAAGTGCTAAATCAGACTCTATAGGTTTTAGACAATGCATGTATACCTCAACTGTCTCTTCATGCATGCATTTGAAGTTAACCAAAAATCTGTATTGCTTTCCAAAGATGTTATTCAATAACAGAAAGGGAGATTCAAAAATAATTACATTGGGACCATGGTGGCACAGTGGCAAAGCAGCTGGTACCCACATGGGAATGAGAACACGCCACAAGAATATGTCCAGTGCCCAGGCAGGTTAGGACTGGAGGTGGACCACGGTGTGAAGATCCTGTTGAAGGGAATCTCTCTCTCTTTCAGAAGAAATACATAAATAACTTAAAAATAACTTAAAGCAGTAACTAGATTTTTAAAAATATCATGTTTGGACTACTGAGTTGAGATAATACAATGGTTTGGCCACATGCTAGTACCCTGATTTTTTTAAAAAAATTATTTATTCATTTATTTTATTATGACCAGAGAGAGGCAGAGAAAGAGGGAGAGGAAGTGAGAAAGCAAGTCACCAGATTCAGGACTTGAACCATTGTCGGCCATGTGGGGGTGTCCAGCACCTTAACCACCACGGCACCTGCTGGTCCCAGTAACCTGATTTAAGGCACTAATTAATACCTCTATGGAAGAAGAATCAGCCATGGAAACAATAGATAAAAGTAGTGAGCAGATATTTCCCTCAAATAACAGTGAGAAAGCCCCAACCACAAGACTTTGAGTATTTTGGTCTCATTGGTGCACCTTAAACTATCCCAGCAGAGGCCATTAGATATCTTGTCCAAACAAATTTCTATCTCACATTTCGTTTCCTACCTAATACTATCGAAGCGTAAAGAATGTACTTATCACATAGAATTGAATATTTGTATTTCTGAGGCAGTAGATTCTCATTGTAAATAAACAAGTGTGCTTTGCTATTAAATGTCAGTCTTATAAATATAGAAATCTACTTCTGAAAAATATATAAGGTACAAAGTGAAGGTTCCGAACTTGATGAATACGGCCAGACTAGGGCCATTATAAAATCTCCATGGAGTTGCAGCTATGTAATGTCTTGAGAGAGTCTATCAATCTTCTCCCCAGGGGTTTGGACGTAGGATATGGCATTGTGCTATGTTTAATTTCTATAATATTAAGATTTAACATTGTTTTTCTTCATGGCTGCCCTTGATAACAGGCTTTTAGTATTCTGCAGCATAAGAAATATTTCATTTACTCTTTCTGTCACTGATCTACCACTCTCTTTAGTTTTTATTTTCAGTTCCTTGAGCAAACCAACAAAACCCTGTATTATCCCAACTTCTAACTTAATTTTTTTTACTCCAGTTCTTGACTCATTCATTTTTTTATAAATCTCTCCCAAACCATATGGCATGTCACAAAGAACATTATCTGAAGATTTCATCATTAAAAGAAATAATAAGTTCTCATCTGCTTGGGGACATCACTAGAAGTGTATGGTAAGTCACTGGTGACTGATTATTTTTAACTTTCATACCTAAAACCTGTAGTTACTGTCAGTGAAAATGGCAAAAAAAAGCATATGTGCATACACGTGAGATGAAATGGTTTCATTTGTCTTCTCTCCACATTTACCAGGATCAGTTGTCTCCTTTCTTCTCAGAAGGGCTCACACATTTTCCTGAACATGTATATCGGAGTTAAGATGCAGTTCTCATAGGACAGACTCTAGGGAGCGTCAATTTCCTCACTCTCTTATGCTATCCCTTTGGACTGTTCAGAGTATTTCTACATTGTGATCGAGAGTTCAACACTGGTAATTTTAAAAATTATGTTCTAATTTAATTTGTTCTTTTATAATGAAAAAACTAAACATATTTTTATAATACGATGAAATTCTATCTAAGTGAAATGAGGTTCTTTAAATTGTTTCAAATAACATCTCAAAATCCACAAAGTCAATTATTCAGTGACATGACTTGTAGTAAAGACAGATTTTAAATAATAATTTTGAAATAAATCTTTGAAGATATGAATTTTGTAAATAATTTTCATTAATGCATATGTCACCTATATTTTGTCATATGACTTTCACACTTATTTATGAAAGAAATACTTTTAATAAATAAAAAAACAAGTGTACATTTCATTATTTTCAGATGTCACATCCATTATGTGAGCAAATTTTTTTTTTTCAAAAAATGTTTTAAAGTAACTTTTATTTCTTCCATAATTAAACTTTCAGGATTTTACTGTGTATGAAAGTTTTTCTCAGGGAGAACAGGCAGAGGAAATGTCTCTCTAGCACTAGTTACCTGAGAGAAACAAATGTTAGGAAAGTGAAAAGCTAGTTACACAGATATACTGAAGACAAGCTTGCTTCATCAACACAATTTGAAATCATTGACTCACTTTGAACTCCATGGGAGCGTACTATTTTCCAGGTTTCTGATGCCACTTCTTTGACATCCACTTGGTAGTGATGAATAGGCACACCTCCGTGGGAGTCTGGTTTGTTAAAAGTAACCTTGGCTGTGGTCTGAGACAGCTCTATAATCTTCACGCCATAGGGACTGGATGGCACATCTATAAAGTAATAGACACAAAATAATCATAACCCACGTAATGCGGATGGCCATTATTAGGACTTACGGTACTATAAGAATTAGTAATGAAGGACAATGGCTCCATATTGCTTAATATATTTGAACTACAAAGTTTACATTAAAAGCAGAATGATGTCTTTCAATTGCAAAAAAGTATCCACGAGACTTTTTTTTTTTTGAGAAATTTTTACTTTTTTAGGGTGTGTGCACTTTCCATGAAGACAGAAAGAGAGAAATTATCCCCCAGGGTGGATGGCCATATCACAATTCCTTCTCCTCCATTTTACTCTTGGGATTTGGGGCAGGCATGCGCATGTGCCCAACATGAGTTTCAAGCAACTGGGTCCGGGAGTTGAACTGCGGTTGGCTATGTGGGTGTTCAGTGCCTTAACCACTACGTAACCTGATGGACTCCCATGAGTCAATTTTTTAAATTACTGCTGCAAGTAGTAAAACATACAATATCAAATTTTGTGTTTTTTTTTTTTTTTTTTTTTTTTACAGATAGCTTTTGCTATAGAGCATATGTACTCATTGGACAGAGAGACAGAGAGAAAGAAAACACTCCCCACGGGGAATGGTCATGTTGCAATCTCTTATCCTTCATTCTCCCTCTGGGAACTTGGGCATGCACGCACACATGCTTGGTGTGAGTTTCAAGCTGTGTCAGGGACTGGAACCACAGTCGACCATGTGGGAGTCTAGCAACATAATTGCTATGCTATATGCTGACCTATCAAATTTCATTATTGAATGGGATGTTTATTTCTGCATTGTCTATACAATATAAAAAATTTATTTAAGTTCAAGAAAATGAGTTTACGTATGTTAGAGAGAAAGGGAGAGAGAGGTGGTAATTAAAATATAAGAGTAAATAAACCTAATATTCACTATAGATAATTCCTTAGGAAAACTGAAATTATATTACTAACTTTGGTCAAATGTTAGTTTAAAGAAAAAGTAGTACTTTGAACTTAAAAAAAATTGCAAACTGAACCAGCGGCTGGGGTAATGGTTATATTGCTGAATTTCCACAGAGCCGACCACAGTTTGAGTCCTGGATCCAGCAGCTTGAAATTCACACTGGGTGTGTGGGCATGCATGCCCAAAAGTCCCAACAGAGGAATGGAGGAAAAGGGGTTGTATCATGGCCATCTCTCCTGTGGGGTGATTTCTTGCTTCCTCTTTCTCTGTCTCTCTGGTGAGCACACATACTCAATAGCAAAGATCCCACTTGAAAACAAAACAAACAAAAAAAAAAATCAAAGAGAACTGCAAAATGTTTTGTTTGGATTTTTCTTTTGGTTTTTGGGTTTTGGATTTTGCCATAAGGTACTTACACCCACCAGAGAGACAGCAAGAAGGAAAATGAGAAATCACTCCCCATGGGGGATGGCCATGTTGTAACACCTTTTCCTCTATTCTTCTGTTGGGATTTTGGGCACACATGTACATGCACCCAAAGTGATTTTTCAAGCTACCAGATCTTGGACTTGAACCACGGCTGGCCATGTGGGAGTCTACCACACCACCTGCTTGCCTTCAAACTGTTTTTCTCTAACTTTACTTATATATCATTTAATTAAAGTCAGCCTTTTTTTTTATTAAAGTAAGCTTTTTAAAAAGATATGAAAATCTTGGTATTTTATTTATTTATTTATTTATTTTAAAGACTAAGATTCTTTATTCAAGAAAGACAGAATGTGAGAAATTGCTCCCCAGGGGGGATGGCCATGCCACAATCCTTTCTCCTCCATTATCCTCTCGGGATTTGGGGCATGCACACACATGTGCCCGGTGTGAGTTTTGAACCACTATGTCCAGGACTTGAACCACAGTTGACAACATGGGAGTCCAGCAACGTAACCATTACACCACCTGCTGGTCCTTCTTTTATTTTAAAAAGTAACTATTAAATCCTTCTGATTTTTATTACTCTATCAATTCAATACTTATATTACTTGAAGTTCAATAAGTTATCCTAGATGAACCTTATTTTAGTTTCTAATATACTAAACGTCTTTTAAAAAATAATTTCAAAAGCAGAACAAGTGGAAGTATAAAATAAGAAAAGAAAAAAATTCCAGTGTGAAAATTAATGAAATCTGTACTCCAGATACATAAAGACTTAGAGGTACATTAAACATTAAAGGAATTTCTCTCTCTCTCTCAATCTCTTTCCTTTTTCATACTGCATTTACATAATTTTAAAATGTAGAAAAAGTAACAGACTTGGGCATTTTAGACAGATTATTTTATGCACATACACACATATACGTATGTATATGAAATTTAATTGAAAAAAATGTAGTACATGTAAAGTTTTATTTTGTTACCCATCAATCATTCATATAAAAGAATCTGAGATGGCAGTCAGAAGTCAAGTGTACTTTATTTGCCAGAGTTAAAAAAGAACACTGTATATCACATAAAATATATGCCTTATAAATGGTACTGGTCAAGAGCCAGGAGGACAGGTTTATGGCCTTTGGATGTGAATGTTGTAATGCAATGCAACAGTACATATTTCAGCTCTAATTAGTAACTGTAAATTATCTAGAGAGCTTATAAAGTAGATAACTCTAAGGTTCAGAAATAAAAGTGTAAAATACTGATATGCTTAAAAGTCAGAGTACTATTAAAATCTTACCTGGAAATAAAATTCTAAGTCACCTAAATAATGTATTTATACAGTCATGCACAAACATTCACATAGTGTTCATGTTTCTTTAATTTCTAGGTTAATCTGCAGGTCTTTTCAACTGGAGGTTTCATCCACAGCAGAGGAGGAAAGCAAATTAACCTAGATTGCCCTTAATAAAACAAGCAAGCCTTTACTCCATGCTGATGGGGCCAGTCTATGGTGCAGCGATTACATCACTGGAGTCCCAGTAGCCTACTGTGGTTTGAGTACCAGACCTGGTGACTTGAAAATCATGCCCAGGTGCATGTTCTTGCGTGTCCAAGATCCCAGGAGGACAATGGAAAAGAAGGGACCATGGTGTGGTCATTCCCTCAGGGGGTGATTTCTCACTTTCCCTCTCACTGTCTCTGTTTCTCTCTCTCCTTGGTGAGTGAACATGGCCCAAGGCAAAAACCTCTTTAAACAAAATTCATGCTGAATGATTCTCTAATGGCCTCCAGGTAGAACTAGACACCACAGGAATTAAAATCTTCATTTTTGAGACATGTATCAAAGTAAAGGTAATATATACTGAGTTTCGATGAAACAGACTGTCCTCTTTTGCTCTCCTCTGAAAATAGCACAGGTCCATGACCCTTTGTTCTTACTCTGACTTTTGAGATCTACACTTCACCAAACTGTGCACCTTGACAGAGTGCACCTACAAAGAAAAGCCTTTTTTTTATTAGCACAAAATTATCATTGTTAAACATGGGCCAGTGTCTATCCATTTCTACCCATACAGTCTACTTTCAAACCTGCTAACTCTTATCCTACTATTGCATTCATATTATTATTTTTGCTATTGCACTCTTCTTTCTGTAACCTGATTAAGAACAAAAGTCATGTTTCTGATTTGCTGCTCTAGTCTCTCCCTAAACACTTTTTATAATCTGCTGATTTTATATGTGCTACCACCAGTAGACTACTAAATTGTCTTTTCGGAGAGAAAGGGACATATATTTTATATGCACATACACACAAATATATGTATACATACATAAACAGACATGTAACGCCGAGTAAAGCAATCAATATTTTCAGTTCTCAGGAAATATGTGATTAAGTAAACATTTCAGTAAAAACAATACACAAAGATACAAAATGTTCCTCTGAATAAGCCCATTATGTCCAGAATCAGCATGTCTAATTCTCTTTACTCTCTTAATTGTTTTCTAATGGCCTTCATCCTTGATTCCTGTCTCTTATGTACATCACAATTAGTCACCACACTATTTTAATCATTTCTGCATTATAATTCTTGTATCTCTCTCTTCCTTTCCATTTCCTCTGTTAACTCCCAAATCCTGGCCCTGTCTGCCTCAATCTACATTGCCATTAGTGGCTCTGGGCTTCCTTTTCTATTGAATGTCTCACAAAAACTTTAATAGATACATCACACAAATGCAAAATCAATCTGTCTAAAGAGCCACTGTAGTAATCACATCACTTTCCTGAGAAGGATGTTCATAATCTGCATTCTCTTTACAGCATTAATTTCAGGCTCTGCAGTCTTCCACTCAAGATCTCGAATGATCTAAGTCACTAGGTGTATGCAAGGCAAAGAGCTTATTATTAAGATGATTAAACAAGACCCAATATTTCCAATGGGGTTATGGATGTTCAGTTCCACACACGGTGCATCATTCATTCGTAGTAGATATTTCTAAACTGCTTTCTCGTATTTTTCATTCCAGTAGTTAATGAATAGTACCCATCACTTGGATAAATGAACAGAACAGTTGTGAAGCATGTATTTGTATAACTACCCCTCTCTGATTATGTATGCATAGTGTGGGATTAAGAGATTGGATATGTTGTCAAAATCTATGGACCCCAGGTGTGGTCTTGCTGCTTTCGTCAACCGCAACCTTGGATCATTCCTTTATTCTTTTCAAACATTAGTATCTTTGTGTCTGTGCTGGAGGTTAGAATAGTACCCATTGCTAGTGGTCAATCAGGTAGAGACGAGACTACAAAATAATGTAGATGGTCTAGTAACCATTATCCTTGGAATACATTCTTCTGTATCCACTGACATTAAGTAATGTTTTACTCAAATGGTAGGTAATAAATCCAATATCCATGTTCAGCTCAGATATTTAAGCTGTGTAGAATAGCAAAGAGCTGGTGAAAGATTTAGGAGTCAGGAACAATCTCTGGAGTCACTGTATGACCTGGAGTTAATTATATTCATTGAGTATCAGATTCCTCTTAAACAAAATAGTGACAATAATAGCAATAGTAAATTTGTTGTGCTGAGTAAATTTTGATGAATATAAATCACTGGATATCAA